ATATAGCTAGCTAAAACCTGCTTACTAAGTATTTATTTAGAGCTCTTTCCTGACCAAATCAACAACATCAGCCCTGGTCAAAATCAACACCTCACAAGTAGCAACATTGGGCACGAATCCCAATTCCTTGCCTCGAGCAGCAAACCTTGCAGCGCAACATTATAAGTTGCGTCGTCTGGCGCACAACCGTCCGTCTCCATCTTCTTCATCATACGGCTTGCCTCCTCAACGTGGGCACAGCAAAGGGAACCAACCATCATATTGTATAAGATGGTGTTGGGCCTCAAGATTCCCGAACTCTCCTCTGCCGACAACATAGTACGGTGTAGCCGACTTCGTTCAGACCCACTTTCCTATCCCTCATGCTCGCCAACAAAGCCCTCACATCCTTCCATCGACCAACGTCACTCAACCCCTGCAAAATGGATGTGTACGTGACGACGTCCGGGTGGACCCCTTTGGCCAACATCTGGACCATCACCTCGTGTGCCTCATCTATTCGAGCTTCCTGGACAAAGTCGTTGATGAGGGCACTGTAGGTGTAGATGTCGGGGTTGTGCCCAGAATTCTCGAATCTACGCAGCATATCGTGGGCAGCCTTGTGAGACGTCCGCATTTACAGAGGCCATTAACAATCGTCAACATGTCATCAGGATTGCATATCCTCGTTTTCAGTATCCCCTTATACAGCTCCTGAGCCATGCCGACTTGCCCGACCATGAAAAGATCCTCCTTCGGCTCCAAACCCATTTTAAAAAAGTACCCAACAACCCCAATCCATATACCACCCTACCACTCAAGCAATAGCAATTGATTGCTATTGTCATAGTGAATTCGTCCACAGGAATACCATCAACACACATTTCATTCACTAGCTTCACAACTACAGAAATATCTTTCACTCTCACCAAATCGCTCAGGATTCTGTTAAACTCTATAACAAGATCCAACACTCAACAACATTTTTTTCTGAACATATTCACTGAATCGCCATAAACAGGTTTATTATAAGCATTAATCCGCCGAGAAGACAACAATTTCTTCCTTTCCATCAACCTCAGGTGAAGTCGTCTTCCTTTGTTTTCTAACCAAAGTACTGGTGAAGTCGTCTTCCTTTGTTTTCTGACCAAAGGCTGCTCACGGGTAATGCTTATAATAAACCTGTGTATGGCGATTCAGTGAATATGTTCAGAAAATGTTGTTGAGTGTTGGATCTACTCCTGTTGTAGAGTTTAACAGAATCCTGAGCGATTTGGTGATAATGAAAGAAATTTCTGTAGTTGTGAAGCTAGTGAATGAAATGCATGTTGTTGGTGCTCCTGTGGACGAATTCACTATGACAATAGCAATCAATTGCTATTGCTTGAGTGGTAGGGTGAGATATGGGTTGGGGTTGTTGGGTACTTTCTTTAAAATGGGTTTGGAGCCGAAGGAGGCCACATTCAAGAAGGGTCTTTCATGGTCGGGCAAGTCGGTATGGCTCAAGAGCTATATGTGTGTACCGTGCTTAGGAACAAAGAATGGCCTTTTTTTCAAAAGAAAAAAGAATTCTTCAGTAAACAATTGCACTTAAAGCAATTCCAAAGAAGATCACATAAATATGTTACGAGACAAACCTCTCCATCAGCAACTCGCGGGACATGCGGCGTAAAAGCAAGTCCAGCTGAGTTATTCATCCACCTGATCAAATGAAAGATCAAATGAAAGAACACTTTAAGCACATCAATGTTATCATATTGCCACAAAAATTATATGGGAAATAAATATACACGCATGTATAGAAATATGTCATTATATTAAAAGAGTCTTCAAATTCAGACCCAACGGAGGAAAAAAAAAAACATACAGTGGACTTCCCCAATTCCTTTTACCGTCTATCAGGCATTCGACCACATAGTGCAAAATCGATCTCAACGTGGTTCAAAAGGTGTGATTTCCTACTCAAATAGTTATTCGCCTCTTTAGGATCAGAGCTAGTTCCTTAAAGGGCAAGTTCATAATTTGGCGACAGTCCAAATGCAGGCGGTGGGTGTAGACTGCAAATTAGAAACAAACAGGGTGACCCAAATATGAATTTCAGACATTATGTCATGTTTTCCACATCTTTTCTAGGGTAAAAAAATAAATAAATAAAAAATTACCTATCCAGCTGGAAAGCATCTCCTCCTTCAACGCCCCTTGTATTAATACAATCACTGTGATTTCCATCAATGGTTGGGCGAAGCTGCATGAAAGAATAATTATCAATATTGAATTTTCAACTGAACTACGGGCCCTAAAGAAAACGACAACTGAATAGTTTCTGTGCTAAGATGTGTAATTTAAGAATCAATGCTGGTGGCATAACTACAAATATTCTTAATTCCTGTTTAGCAATTGAGTTCTTGCTAAGTAGTATCTAACCATGCTCCTGATATTATCACACCAACTTCTATTTCACATGGCAAAATCTGCTAAAATAGGGAATCGAATTTTTTATGAGACTCAAGCTTGTATATGTGATATATTAGAATATCAAGTGATTTTATTATGTAACTCTCAACGTTTAGTCAAACTCATGTGAAAACATCAACATGCAGCAGAACCAAAGCAATTCTTGATAAGTTGCTAAGAGTCTTAAGCTTCAAATTTGTAAATTAGTATTTATAACCACCGATTTATCTTCTCGTGTTCACTATATACTGTATAACATGAAAACTCCAATAGTATAACCATATGTGAGCCATCTTCAGGGGCAACTCAATAAAATCTCACGAATTCAAATTTGAAAAAAGAATTATTTTCAACCCATGTGATCTAAATCTAAGGATGTATTTGTGGAATATATTTGAAATTGTATTGAAACCCACGGAATGACCTAAAAAAATTAACCTCGCATCACCATTTGACCTTATCCATATGGTCCAGCAAACACGCATCGTTTATCTGGGCCATGATTTCCAATACGCCCTCGGCCTCCTCCACCATTCCTTTCTGGCTGAAAGCAGCCATCAACACGCTGCACGAGGTCCCATCGAAACATATATTGTGATCCGCCATTTTTCGGATCAAGGTTTTAACGTCTCTCCACCGGCCGGCATCACACAGCGTTCGAAACATGGAAGCATAACGACGGCAGTTGCCGAAACCCCTTTTCGGTTACTTTAAACAGGACTTGGAGGGCATCGTCGGCCATTCCATCTTTCATCAGACGGGCGACCACTGCAGAATAAGCAAAACCGTTAGGCTTGAGACCACCCGTTTTCTCGAGCAAATCAAGGGAGGCTGCGGCTCGGGTCCCGGAGAGCCCCTCGGCCACAGTGATGGCCGTGACCTCGTTGGGCTCAAACATTTTCAGAGTCAGGGAATTGGACAGCAGCTCCTCGGCCTCGTTGGAAAAGAGTCCCCTGAGGAGAGTGTTGAAGGTGACCAGGCTCGGCTTCAGGCCCAGCTTGAAGAAGCTGCCCAAGACGGCGAGCCCCAACTCCGGCCGGCTCAGCAGGCAATAGCAGCGGATGGCGATGTTCATGGTGTACTCGTCCACGGGGACATTCCTAAGCCGCATTTTCGTCGAACAACAAGAGGGCATCCGAGTAGTGCTTCTTCCTCACGACGGCGTTCAGTAGTTTGGTCATTGCCACCACCGACGGCCCAATGGCGACTAACTCGCGGCGGTAACGAATTAGGACGTCGACGTTGACGGAGGAGAAATCATCTACTCGGCGCCGGGGCGTAAAACAAGAGGAGGTTTTTGGTTCCCATACTTTGCTGAGACGCTTAATTATAGGTGTCAACATCGGAGTCAGTCGATCGGCCGGCGAATTTCAGGATGTGCCGCCAACGTGAACAATTTATTGGTTTCAGGATTAGGGTTTGCAATGAGCCGTTTGGTGGATAGCGAATTGAAGATAAATTAACAGATTTGACTTAATTGAGAGGTTTGACCAATCAAATCCACGAGCTTGTTTGGTAAATAGCTTATTTGGTAAATAGCTTATTTGATAAGCTTTTTTGGCTCAAAACTTTAATTTATAAAAAACTCATTAGAGCAGCATTTTGGGATTGAGAATTCACCATTGAAAGGTTTTACTTAAAAATTTTTTAATTTGTCTTATTTATTTTACAATCTACATTAGTTTATAAAGCTAATAAATAATAATATGTCATCCATATGATTAATTTATCTAGAAAAATGTAAAATTCATAATTTCTTCATCAAGTGTTAATAAATTTAAAAATATATATATATATATATATATTTATAAATTACCAACTAAAGAATATTAAATGTTTTAATATATTATTATTAAAATAATACATCCTAAATAATAAAATGTCCTTATTGGTCATTGTGCAATGTCAAACAGCTATAAGCTTTCAGCTATTTACCAAACACTTATTTAAAAACCGCTAATGCAATCTGCTGGTCAAAGCAGCTAATATAATCCGCTATTCGTTATCCGCTGATACAATCCGCTATCCGCTATACGCTGATCGCCAAACAAGGCCATAATACTCATTTACTATTGACCGCCCCTATTACTACTCATCGCCTCCCAATTACGCTTTTGCCCTTCACACTTTCTCTCTACTCTTTCCCTCTCGATTTTTTACGTCTCTTTTGACCGTCAAAACAATTTCGAAAAAAAGCCAAAAAATACAATGACATTAGCAAGACATTAAAGATTGACCATGTATTTTTTTTTATAATTTTTTTTTTTAATTTTTTTGGCGCGCCCAACCGGCTCAGTAGTACGCTCCAAAAGGCGTCCAACCGGCGAGGCCGGACGCGCCAAAGGGCGTCCTACCGGCAAAGTAGGACGCTTTTTGTCGCATCTGGCCTCGTCGGTAGGACGCCCTTTGGGCACGTCCGGCCTCGCCAGTTGGACGCCTTTTGGCGCGTACTACCGGGCCGGTTGGACGCGCCAAAAAAATAAAAAAATTAAAAAAATACATGGTCAATCTTCAATGTCTTGCCGATGTCATAGTATTTTTTTGGCATTTTTTTTACGGTCAAAAGAGCCGTAAAAAATCGAGAGAGATAGAGTAGAGAGAGAGTGTGAAGGGCAAAAACGTAATTGGAGGGTGGTGAGTAGTAATAGGAGGGCGGTGAATAGTAATGCCATAATAATAAGACAATTGTTAGATATCCCCTCCAATAATAACGCGACGCGTAGCTACTCATCACAGATAAATAATAGAGATTTTAAACCAAATATCCTACGACTTTAAGCAAGATCACTAACAAATATCTACTCGGATCTGTTTGGGAGCCGAACACTAATTCGGCCCCGTCACATGTTCGAGCATTGGTGGCAGACAAGATCACCAACCATCGATCTGTCGGGCACATGTGTCGCCGCCCTCTATGCTGATCTAGATCCAGATTCGGTCCATAATCATTAGATATTAAATGCGACGGTACTTTCCGAAAATAGAAAATACGTTGTACTACACACACATACAGTACCTGATAGTACCCCATGTATAAATCGGCAAACGGATCATTACTAAAGGATCTTTTAAAATATTCAACAAATATCCAAGAGAGAATTGTCGATCTACTGTTCGGTTCGGTATACATTAAATCAACTAAAATTCATCCCGCCTTAAACGTTGGTTGTTACAAATTCTTATAACAACAACAAACTCGGTCCAAACTGATAAAGGCTCGAGTTCGACTTGCTTTATTTATAAGAGTACTGCTATAAGTACATAATATTGTACATAGGAGTGTACATAACACTCACATTGAGTGGGACCCACCAAAAATAAAAAATCAAGTGAACCCCATTTTATGTGAGTATTATATACATCTCTATAAATGTACATGTAGCATTTTCCTATTTATAAAGGTCTATGGACATATAAGTAGAACTTATTAGGTGGAAACAAGTGTCTCACATAGAAGAATTATATAAATTAATGTACATAAATATTTGATATTAAAAGTTGGGAACTTCAAAATGGAGCTCGAGACAACATTTGTTGAAGCCATATATTTTCTTATACTAAATAAATTGTTTAATATTGAATTGTACTTATATTAAGTGCTGTATGATATGTTTTGGATTTTTGTTCAAATAAAATTTCTTGTAAATTATTAACCCGTGAGTGGGTAAAAGAATATATGAACTTGGGCCAGGCCCAGACTCAACATCCAACAGCCCCCAATAAGGGGTAAAACTGTCCTTCCACCACCTCTGCATCTGCCCAGAGAGCAGCTCATAGTCCTTAATCTCCCATTGCCACTTTCAAAGCTTCCCTTACACCATAGTTTTCATCGGAGCACACAAACACACACGCAGGCTTCAAAGAAAAAGGCTTTAGCAAGAAAAAGGCTTATACTTCCTTACAGGATATTTAAGGAAGGTGGGTTTTCGACGTCTTCATTTTTATCTGTAAGAAATGGGCTTGTGTAATGTGGGGTCGTTTGATCTGTTGTTTTGTAGCACTTATTTCAGCTTTTAGAGTGTTGTTTCTTGGATTTATGGTGAATATCTTTCGTCGGTTATTTTTTTTCTTGGTGCCTTGGATTGGTGAGGTTTTAAGCTGGTGCATTTTGAGCTCGACATGCGTTTTGTTCAAGAAGATATTCAGATTTTGATATCGTGTTCGTTTGGATGTGATTTAGGTCTAGAAAGTGGAATTGGTTGTTCAGATGAAATGTTGTTAATATGTGTGTGTGTGTGTGTTTATTCCATATTGGAAAGAAATTGAGTGCCATCTAAATGCAGGCAGGCTTAGTAAATGCTTCGCTACACGTTTTACCAAACTTGGATTTAGTTTTATGTTTATGTGTTAGATATTTGACGTATCTACCGGATAATAATTGAGCTTTGTTTTGTCAAGAAGACCTACATTGTATAAGCCAGACGATTGTTTATGTAAAAAGACAGTTTAAAAAAAAAAAAAAATTGTTGGCACACAGTCAACAATATCTTAATTAATGATAAATTTCATCATTTGTGGGTAAAATAATATTGATTCTTAGTTTTAAGTCCTCCGTGTGTCTTCTTCGACTTCGCCATAACTTTTGTATCAAATTTGAATGTTGATTTCACTCTATCTGTAAACTGTCCACAGCATTACTATTAAAACGACATGGCTGCAAGTGCAACTCCCGGCACTCAAATTCTATCTCCAAAGTCTCTTGTTCCCGCGTCTCATGCAAATTGCAGATCGAGCATATCTTATTTCGGCAATGAAACCAAAGGCACGTCTCGAACAAAGCTTAGAAGCTCTTTTTCTCTACCGGAAACACAGTTGTTCTCCAAAACTTACAAAATAAATCTGTCGAAACGTGAAAGGCTGTGTGTAAACGCAATGTCGGGAGCTAGTGATAAACAGCCTTTGCCAGGATTGCCTGTTGATCTGAGAGGTTGGTCCTTTTTACCTCGTTTGGCATTCAATTTTCGACTTTCATAATGCCTATGTTGCATGCATCATTTACAATTATATATGCATGTCCAATTACTTGAGAGCATGTTTAGCTCTTATAAGATGTTTTTATCCTGACCCAAAAAATTCAATGGTGAAGCTTTTAGAGGTGAGTAATGGTTCTACAAATTACCTACGTACATTGTTTTATCTTCAGGAAAAAGGGCGTTCATTGCCGGTATAGCTGATGATAATGGGTATGGGTGGGCCATTGCAAAATCTCTAGCAGCTGCCGGAGCTGAAATTCTAGTTGGGACTTGGGTTCCTGTATGTATTTCACTCTCTG